TGGGGGTGGAGGTGGGGAGGAGGCTAGGGCGCCGGCTCAGCAGTTAAGAGCATTTGTTGTTCTTGCTCTTGCAGAAGACCCAGGTTTGTTTCCCGGCACCCACATGGTGGCTCACAACCATCTGTAACCCAGTTACAGGGGCTTCAGTGTCCTCTTCTGCCCTCCATGGGCACCAGGCACAGACACACACACACATACAAGACATCGCATCACATCAAACAAATAATAATTAAAAACCCTCCCTGAATCCTTCAGCACAGCTGAGGAGGGCTGAGGTCAAAGACACTTTTGCATGTGTGTGTACCCGTGTGTGAAGGTGTGTACACACAGCTGCTCCTGTTTATCACTTAAGCCTTTGGGAGAACAAAGAACACCATTCTACAGTTTGTTCTACTCCCTAGTATTTATTAGTCAGCTCAATACTTTCAGTGTGAATGAAAGAAAACCCAACTCAAACTAGCTCATCTCAGAAAGGAAACGCATGTGGCATCCATGATGGAAAAACCTCAAGGTGATCTTCAGAACAGTTGGATTCAGGACTCAAATGGGGTCTTTAGGATTGTCACAGCTAATTCATTGTCAAGCCAGATGGATTTGGAGTCACCTAGGAGGCATAGTTCCAGCATGCCTGTGATGGGCAAGCCCCAAGTAAACCTTTCAGAAAGATTTACCTGAGGAAGGATACTCGTCCTGAACGTGGGTGGTATCTTCCGTGGACCGGAGTCCCTGGCAGAGTGAAAAAGGGGAAATCTAGTATGAGCATCCTATGATCCCTGCTTTTGGTCTTTCTGGATGTGAGTAGTCTTAACTGGATGTTTTTGCTGCCTAGGACTCAGCCATGCCTTTCTGGATGTAATGGACTCTATGCTTTAAAAATCTTGAACCAAAATAAGCCCTCTTCCCTTGAGCAGCTTTTTGTCGGATATTTTGTTATTGCAACAGGAAAGTAATGAACATGAGGACTCCTCTCTCTCTCTCTCTCTTTCTCTCTCTCTGTCTCTCTCTCTCTCGTCTGTTTCTGCAGGGCTGGCTTCAGTCTTAAACTCTGAAGCTATGGGTACCACCCGCTGGATCCCTGTCTACGGTCCTGTCTTCAGAAGGGAGAGCTGGGGTGGTGAGCATTGTGGTTGGATTAGATGGCAGCCCTCCTCACACCAGTCACTGCCCAGCCTGGAGGAGCCTGAGGGAGTGTGACAAGGGGTGACCAGTGGCTGGCAGTCAAGCCCAAACCTGCACTCTAGCCACAGGCAGGCTGTAGGACACACACACACACACACACACACACACACACACACACACACGCGCGCGCGCGCGCGCACATATGTACATACATACACACACTCACACTCACATACACACACTCACACACACATACACCCACTCACACCCACTCACACACTCACTCACACACACACACACACGCACATATGTACATACATACACACACTCACACTCACATACACCCACTCACACACACATACACCCACTCACACACACTCACACACACACACACACACACACACACACTGGGCCACTGTTCAGGGTGTCACCTGCTCTTTCTTGTCCTCTCTGGTAAAGCTAGGAAGGCAGGTGGGGGCCTCGTGCTGGGAACCAGGTGGGCTTGCTCCAACTTATGTGTGCCTGGGGTGGGGCAGAGCATCCGGAAGAAAATGTGTGAGGCAGGAAGGCCATCCTTAGGACAGTGGTAGCTCCTTCCTCCCCCCTCCCTCCCTCCCCCCCTCCCTTCCTTGTTACTCTTTTCCCATCCTCTTCATGGTTGTCAAGAGACCCAACTCTAACCCCCTGTGTATCTAGGCCACTCAGGCTGCCAGGTACCCAGTGAGAGAAATCTCCAGCCCCCTCCCCCACACCGGCTGCAGGCAGGAGCAGGCCTGAAACCCGACTTCCCAAGGATGGCCTTCACCACCCCAGCTCCTCACCAGGTGTCTCAGGACCAAGGAGACAGCAGGAGCCTGCTACTTTCCTCAGGCTCTAGCGTCTCTCGCGCTGTGTGTGTGTGTGTGTGTGTGTGTGTGTGTGTGTGTGTGGCTCGGGGGTGTGTGTGGGGGATGTGGGAGGACACTCTGAAAAGACTGTACTGGCTTTGTCTGCTACCCATTTGTTCCCTGGTCTCCTTGTCCCATCCTGATTGTCAGATGTCCTGACAGTGACCCAAGAATTCCTCAAAGCTGCCTCCTGACCCCATTCAGTTTCCCTCTGACTAGAACCAGCTCCGACGCCATGCACCCCAGCACTGGTCCCTGGCCTGTTCACTGCCAGGCCTCAGCCAGGTCCCCAAGGAAGGACCACTGTCAGACAGTGTCACACCCCAGGTCAGAAGCGTGTCTTCCCTGGTGCTTCCCCTTGCTAGCCCTTTGGCTAGTGGCCCTGTCTAGGCTGAGCTTACAGCCTGACTTAGGCTGACTTACAGTTCAGCCCAAATGAGCTCACTTGAGGTGAAGTTTTAATCAGCAGGTCTGCATGCTGCCCGCCCACCCCTGCATTGCTCCCCTTGCCCTGTGGGTGTCTTTCCTGTTCCAGCCTCCATAGGCAAACTGGAGTGTTCTGGCTCTGGCTTCCTCCCTCATTCTCTTCCTTGTCTCTCCAAGAGCAGAGCCTCCATGTGGAACTCAGCGGCTTCTCAAGTCCCTTGAGGTCACAGATTGTCACTGGTCAACTCCTTCATCAGTGCTCAGGACACCAGTGACCCTGTCCTATACGAATGGGGCCACCCAGTGCGGATGTAGCCTGAAGGAAACCCTTGTCCTGTGCTGGATATGTAGGAACCACACCCAAGCATGGAGCAAATGTGGTCAACAGTGGGGCATACGATCACAACGGAGCTGAAGCATTCCTGTCCTCTAATGACACTGTAGCCATCACAGGTGTGGCAGAGCACATCTCCATGTGTCTGTGACGACCTTGGTATCAAGAGGCCTACTACATGTGTTGCTGGTTTGTGTCTGCAGGACGGTGCTTTTCCTCGTGATTTTAGGGTATACGGTGTATTAAAAGCTTCACTTCAAAGCGTGTGCCATGGGGAATGGCCAGATCTATCCAGGGTTTACAGTGTCCGTGGTGGCATTGTCCCCTCTGTGCTCCATCTAATCTGGTAGTGTTTTGCTCATCATGGGCCTCAGAGCAGCAGGCTCTGCCACACGGATCTCCCATAGCCAGATGTGTGTGTGGTAAGGTTACCAGCTTAGTGTGTCTAAGTGCACTGTGATCACACAATGACAGAACCTTCCAATAGTGTGTCTCTCAGAACGTGTCCCCAGAGCTAAGTGACATGTGACTGTAGTGTTAGACCACCCACAATATCCCACTGATCACAAAATAAGAGGCAGCCACATGTACAAGGAAATAGGTGAGGCTCGTTTGGGGCCAACACTTCATTCCTGACTCTGGAGTCCTAATCCAGTAAGAGGGATGCTACAGGCTTGGCACAGTGTGTGCCTGTCCCAGTGTCCTAGCACTGGGGAGATGGGGGCAGAAGGATCAGCCTAGGCTACACAGAAAGACCTTATCTCAAAAGCAAAAATATCCTGGAATGATGGCTCAGCAGTTAAGAGCACTTGTGGCTCTTGCAGAGGACCCAGGTTAGGTTTCCCCAGCTCCCCGGGGGTGGCTCACATCGCTTGTGACTTCATTTCCAAGGATCTGACGCCCTGTAGCTTCTTCTTGAACACCAGGCATGCACACAATGCGCGTACATGCATTTAAGCAAAACACTCATACATATAAAAATTTAAAGTAAAATCAAGCGCGCTCGTGCGCACGCACGCACGCGCGCACACACACACACACACACACACACACACACACACACACACACACACGCGCGCGCGCGCGCGCGCATGCGCGAGCATACATTAGCACACAACCTGTGTGGGTACAGAGTCCCGCGTAGTGAGATCACATCCATGCTTCTGTTGTCACTGGGCCCCTGTGGATGGGTGTGAGTGGCATTAAGTGCTGGGGGCAGGTACCCTAGAGGAAACTGCTCTATAAATGTCAATGTGGAGCACACGAGACACAGAAAGTGCCTTCTGGAAGCTTCCAGACCAGGGTGTGTGCAGCTGCCCTCAAAGCACCTTAAAACCACACTGGAGTTTCCCAAGATGAGTACGGCTTGTGGTCCAGCCCCTGAGTTCCTGGGGATGTTGGGCTTGTCCCTGGCAGCCCCATGCCCCATGCTCTTCATGCTCGGTATAGAACTGGCATTCTTTCTTTCTTTTTTCTATTTATTTTCAAGACATGGTTTCTCTGTGTATCCCTGGCTGTCTGGAACTCATTCTATAGAGCAGGCTGGCCTCTAACTCAGAGATGTGCCTGCCTCTGCCTCCCTTGTGTAGGGATTAAAGGCATGTACCTCTACCACCCTGCTTTAGAACGGGTATTTAGAATTGGAATTCTCAAGGTATTTGTGAATATTTGCTGAAGAGTTGAGCCTGGCCCCAGACAGGATGTTGGGCAAGTAAGTGACTATCTAGCTGCTTGCAGATGTGAGTCGCATTGACCCTGCCAGAAATTAGAATGAAATCTGTTCACCTGCCACAGCTAGGATGCTGTGGTGCACTGGCATGATGGCTTCCTTTGTGGAAACACCTTTAAAGCATTCCTTTCACTCGGAGTCCCTTTCGAGTGTGTCCCACTTTGGACTAAGTCATTTACTTGAGGGTCCCCTGCTCTCTGAGTCTGATGATGGCTCTGGCCTAAAAGCGATAACTAGCCTCAGAAGAAGAAAGGCTTCATGTCGCAGGGTGCCCCTTCTGAAAGGGAAGCATTCCTGAGACTTCAGGTGGAAGCTGCAGCATGTTGCCTTCTATCTGGAGACTGGCTTGGGCCACCTGCCATCAGAGCCTGCATGCTTTCCACAACTACAAAGCAAGAGGACTCTGGGCCTGTGGATCTGTTGGCAATACCCCAATAATCACAGGTAAATAAGACTAGTGCTTGAGCCAAGCTTCCCAGCTCATGGGCAGAGGCAAGCTCCTGCCACCTGGCAAGGGGTCCTTGCCGGAGGGCCACCCGCGAAGGATGCAGAGGATGTAGAGCCATTGCAGACCGTTACAAGCATTTGTGTCCATCTAGGTCTCAAGTGTATGCTAGCACAGCAGGCCTGTGAGTTCACTCGTTATTATCATTCAGGTTGCAGAAAAAGCACGCGTCTGTCCATTTGCTGAAGCATGCTGAGTGGCACAGGTGCCAGAAGCCGTGAGAGTGGCACACTGAGGTTTGGGGACTTCAGCTCTGTGTTTTGTTGCAGTGGCCATTGTTGTAAGAGAACACACTTGCTCTGAGCTCCCTGCTATGGCCTTCTGTCACAGTGATCAGGATTTCTGAGGTCCACACAGAGTGTGATGAATATTCAGTGTGGAGGAAGCAGAACTGATTGGGGTTTTTGTTGCTGTTTTGCCTTCCTTCCTGCGCTCTCTCTGTCTCTCTCTCTCGCTCTCTCTCTCTCTCTCCCTCCTCCTCCTCCTCCTCCTCCTCCTCCTCCTCTTCCTCCTCCTCCTTTTTGGTTTCAGTAACAACATTTTCAGGGATCTCATCTACAGTAGACTAGCAAGCCGAGCACTGGAGGGATGGCTCATGCAGAGGACCCAGGTTCAGTACCCAACACCCAAATGATGGCTCAAAACTATCTGTAAGTCCAGTTCTAGGGGATTCAACACCATCTTCTGGCCTTATATACATTTAATCCCATCACTCGGAGGCAGAGGCAGAGGCAGAGGCAGAGGCAGAGGCAGAGGCAGAGGCAGAGGCAGAGGCAGAGGCAGAGGCAGAGGCAGAGGCAGAGGCAGAGGCAGAGGCAGAGGCAGAGGCAGAGGCAGAGGCAGAGGCAGAGGCATCTCTCTGAGGCTAGCCGGGTCATAGTAAGGAGGTTGAACTGAGCCAGCCCTGCAAGGATACCACATTACTTCAGATAGTCTTCTTCTCTGATCAGACCTGAACTTGAGATGGCTGGCTTGCCTACCCGAGGAGGAGGGGGAGGGAGAATCACCCCAGACAGTATCCAGAGCTTTAATGATGCCGCACAGCCCTGCATTTCGTCTGGCTGCCAGTGGAATCAGGAATAGAAGGAAGGAAAAACCAAGCGTAAAACAATGTATTAGAAGCACATCCCAGTGTACCCAGGTAGCTGGGAGAGAGGTTGGGGCTGGACTTTAAGATCTATGTGATCAATACTTCCAAGAAGTTAGGAAACAAAAGTTTCAGCCGAGAACTGGAATTATAAGAAAGGGAATCAAATGGAAATTCTGAAATAAACAAACAAAAAAAGAGCTGATAAATTTGATGGGAGCTCTGGGCATGTAGAATCCAACACACCATTGAAGAAATTAAAGATTGTGAGTGAGACGCTGAGTTCCTGAGCTGGGAAATGGGTGTATTTTCACACTCAACTCTTCCCAAATGGATACCAATGTAAGTGCCAGATTTTAGGGGTAGAAACTGAACCTCATTCTAAAACGTATGTGATCATACAAAGGGCCTAGCATAACCAAACATTTTGTTTTGTTTAAATTTTTTCCTTTTAACCCATTTTTATTAATTCTTTGAGAATTTCATACATACCACGTGTTTTAATTGTGTCTGAATACCCCACGTCCTCTGATATCCCCCTCGCCTTGCTGCCCACC